TTTAATTGAACGATTTGAAACGATTCATGCACTGTTTCACCAATGTCTTCCAATGTAGCTAGCAAGTCAACTTTTTCTACATTTTAAAACATTATTGATCATAAAAAATATTCAACGGACAAACCAAACTCACATTTACTAGGTAATCCTGATCCTCAACGGAGAGTGCCGCTTCTTTACAGACTTTGAAATATCCTTATAATAATTACCAGGATCCTTCTGCCAATTTCCTACATAATAATAGCATTTTCTTCAATTATTTTCACGGGCTGTGGTAGCCCAGTGGTCAAGGTATAGGATTATTGTAGGCATGCCATGAGTTCGAGCCCAGTACCACTAAAGACACGCCGTGTAGGGCAGCGATGCACGTTAAATCTATCGAGATCTAAAACGTCCTCCCGTTGGTGTGGTAGTTAAAAGAGGGGTTGCCAGCTCAGGTGTCGTTCACGTCACTTGACCATGGTTCAAAATTACGTGGTCCATCGCCAAAAGCCCTCGTGTGGCTGAACAGTGCGACGTTAATATTCACTCAATCACGCACTCAATTATCTTCACTTGTGCTCTTCTTTTCTCGCCAAATGACAGTAAAATCTCATTATACCGATTTTTTACACTTTCTTGTGGCCCATATCATTGTGCAGCTTGCCATCAATATTCAGATTAGTTTTTTCAGATATTTGAAGTTTTCTAACTTTATCTTTTGGTTTCGGTTTTTTATTTTAAAGCATTTTTCCACTCTTACATTGAAGTAATTAAACATATTTTTGAGTACAATGAACTCTTTCAGTGTTCAAATGAGTTAATAGTTTCAATTTTCATTACCAAAATATTTTCTGCTTGATTACGTTTTGAGATTTATCAGTTATCATAGTCACTTAATTCAGATTGATATCAAGACCAATTTTTGTTTAAAAAATAGTTTATATAACTTGGAAGATTTTTCATTTATTTTTCCCAGTTGAGAAAATGACATGACTACAAAACGTTCGCAGGTTGCTATGAGAAAAGCTATTTCGAAGAGATGGAATACTACTAAAAATGATAAATCTATAAACTCCCTCATTTGATAATAATATTAGATTTATGTGCACAAGTATTCTGTATACAAGCATTGTACATAAAACTGAATATGTTCATCTTGTACCAAATTCCATTATAGTAAATATACTGTAGTACTATTTTATAGTATAATAAAAAGTGAAACAAATACCCAAACTTGCTTAGGTACCCCAATTTAAAAATGAAAAATTAAATTTTATGAACAAATTTGGCAATTTTTAGCTTAGGTTAGTAACAGTATAATTGCGTACATAAATATTTTGCGTTTAAATACTTTTGTGAAAATATTAGGTTAAGATTAAGCTTAACAAACTGTCATCTAACAAATGATATCAATATTATGCAAATATATTTTCGAATTAAAAAAATTATTTTCAGTCATATTTAATTAAAATAGCGTTTTAATGTGGAACATACATTGAAAAATAAAATATTAAAAATTAGAGGTGTACGGGCATTATAAGTTTTTTGTCTCATGCCCTCACAAACTTTGAATGCGTTTTTCTCAAACTTAACTTTAAAGGTGTAAATGTTTTCTAAACCCCTACGGTCTTTTTTTTTCTGTCTAAGATAGAATCTTGAGTTTCTTTTGTACGTACTCCAATACTATTGACTCTGTAAAAATTAGTATTGATTTAGGTCCGGGCTCTTCAATTATTTTTTTAAAAAATGCTTAAGATAACATTTTTAAAAAAAATCACGTTTTTTCAGGTTTAGCTAGAAGAAGAATAATTAAAAATCAACAAGGGATCATGTTTTCAAATCCATACTAGCTTTTGTTTTCAATGATTTGGAAAACATAAATCACTAAAAATGACTGAAAAATTTTAAAAATTGAGCATTTCATAAAAGTTAAAAAAAAAACTAATTTCTTAAAATTGTGAAATAATGGCTGGTCAAACTGACTTCGTACTTACAGAATCAGCTTAATAATATAATCTGAATATAAAACATAAATTATTTTAATTGATAATGTCTCCAGAAAGTTTTTAAAAAAGGGTACAGTATAGCCTTAAAGAAAGAAAAACAAAACTACATGAAAAAAATGTACATGCCATTTTTACTTAAAAAACATGAGCCCAAAAAAGTTTTTAAATTCAAAATTAAACAAAAAGTTGCTAATCCGAGCATAATTTTCGTCCACAGCCAAAAAAAAAAAAAAAAAAAAATCCGAGTAAACGTAACGCTTCCGAACCTGACGATTCACTTAAATTCACTTTCCAGCAAAACGCGCCTAAAAATGTTATCAAGTAAGGGTATGATTATCGCTTTGAGTGCAAGAGATTGCGGGTTAAAATCCCGACAATGTCCTTTTTTTATAAATTCACCGAGTATTTAAGGCTGTATTTGGCTATTGTTAAAGAATAGGGACCAAATTCTGAATATTTTTTTCGGATATAATCGTACTCGAACATTAATATTATATCCTGGCTTCACTATCCTGTAGAGAATCACTTGTTTTATCATACTGTTCATTTTTATTCCAGTTGAGAACTTTTTCTTTCATAAAATATATTTCGCATGCTTTTTCCTTATACTGTAATGCTAAATGAACTATTCATTTATATGTTAAATGAAAAAACTAATTACTTATGAACTATTTTTAAATTTTAAAAACACTATATTAAAAACAAATGCATGAGTTACAATGGCGCAAATTTTTATGAAAATTGAGGCATTTTTTCTGACCGAAAATGTGTTCCGCGTCAAGTTCACGCTCTCGAATATATGACGAAAACAGCCTCAGCAGATGATTTGTCTTAAATAAATTTATCAATTCTAATTTTTAACTCCATACCTTGATAATAGCATTTAGTCAGCTGTGTTTTCATTTTCTGGAGGTTATTTTAAGAATTTTTTTAGTGATATACCCTCCTCTTATCATGACCATATTGTATTATTATGGTTTATGTGATTTTTTTTTGCATATATAGAAATATTACCTTATAGTTTATTGTGGCAACTTGTGTTACAAATTCTTTATAATCCGTAAGAAACAGAAATTTTAGCGCATGTTCTGTATCAGATTGGAAATTCTGATGTAATTAATTATTTCGTTTCGGACAATGGTAATGTTCCTTCCTGCACCGATTTTCTTTTATTGAACCGATTGGCGTATATTATATTATCGTCTGATTTTATGTTGTTGTTTTAGTTAATTTGTATATCTGTGTGTTTCGTTGTTAATAAAATATGAGGAACGGAAATTTTGAAATTAAAATTTGGAATATGCAATGGAATTTGGATATAATATTTAATAAAATTCACTTCAGAGTGAATTAATTAAGCATTGTTTTGCTTTAGTATATCGTTTTCTTATCTACATGAGGGCATTTAAGAAAAATATAATCTTTTCTGTTATTTGTTAGTAATCATTTACGAACCATACTATTAATTGGTTACTACAAAACCATTTGTGAAAAGAAAAATAGAATCAATAGTAGTTAATTTTTCTTCTTTAATAGAATTTTGAATTTCTATTCTTTTTGATAAAAAAGGAATCTGGAGGAAAAATAACATTTCAAAGCGAAATATTAATTAACATTTTAAGACTATTGCAGAATATGTGTTTATACACATATACAGCTGAAAAATCGTGTGTATGCATTCAAATATATTACAAACTAATACTAATGCCCTTGAATGCTGAAATTTTGAAAATAATATATGGAAGGGGTGCCTTGGTATAGGATTTTGAAAACACTTTATTCCGAAATTATAGAAACCTAAAACTCTCATCGATTTAAATTATATAAAAACCTACAATAATAACTTTTGAACAGTATTTGTCATTTTCCTTTTAAAATCATCCATCTTTTAAAATCAAAAATGTTATTAAAAACATGTTTTAAAGGAAAAAAATTAGTTTTTCATGCAATAATAAAATAGTGGTTTATCTGAATATATGCTTTAAAAATAAGGTAGTATGCAATTCCTAATTTTTCACTCGATAAACCGAAGCTTAAGGCATGCATAAGAATTCATTTTATTTCATGCATATAAAAAATTCGTGCTTACACAATGATATACTAAATCGCAATCCAGAAATATTTCATTAAATTCATGCTAAAATGCGAAATGTCTTTTTTTTCTCTTTCTCTCGCTCTGGAAAGCAGTTTTGTAAAAATATGAATAACTTCCCATTTTTTTTCTGAAAAAAATGAGAAACGTAGAAATGAAATGCGTCTTTTTATTTGTTGCCGAAAGCTGAAGAATTTTGTAATAAAGAAAGTGTTATATTAAATCAGAAAAAAGAATGTATTTTGAAGAGACTAAATAGATTGTTTCTGTTTCTTTCTGCTTTTCTGTTTTTTTTCTTTTTGGTATAAGTTTTAAATTCCTTTGAAAAATGAGAAAGAAAAACTCATGTTTTAAATGCTATTGCAAGATAAAAAACCCTAGTTTTATATTTTCATAAAAACAAAACTAACATTAGCTTTACAAGTTTTTAACGAACTTTGCAGTATATTGCAATCTAAACGTAATTGTTATTTAAATTAATTTCAAAATTTAAACTGTTGATATTAAATTCTTAAAATATACAGATTCAATTATAATTTCCTCTGCTACAAGGAACAATTACGCATTTAATCCGGAAAAAAGTTAAAAATTTTAATTGTAAATTTTAGCTTAATCTAAAAAGGACGAATAACATTGTTTACACATATGTGGTGACTGCTAGTTAAATTCAACCAAATGTAAGAAAAAAATCCCTGCTTACCATGATAACCAAAATATTCATTTTTAAACTATACATGAGAAATATTTTATAGTATATGGCGTCCTGCTTAGATTCAATGTAAATTTCAAACTATTAATCAAAAAATACACGCACACAAAACATGTGTGATTATTTAATGTTTGTAACGGATAAGTGAAAAAGAAAAACCGAGCTTTTTGCATCAAAAGAGTAATATGTATATTCTTACACCGCAGTTCGAGGTTCGGTGGTCTAGGGGTATGATTATCGCTTAGGGTGCGAGAGGTCCCAGTGTCAAATCCCGGCCGAACCCTTTTCTGATTTTTTTTAAACTTTTGTTACTTAATTTGTTTTACTTCAAATAATTTAATAAGACAAACTAAGTAAAAATATATGTGATTTTTTACAAATTATTTTGGCTTACATTTTTAAATTCATCAACTAAATTTCTTGTGAATGAAAGTAGTATTTTCGTTTCCAATCGGCACATCTAGAAACAAATATCTGAAATTGTGATGTCCACTACAGGCGATTGCTCAAAATTCAGTCCAATATATAGTTTTCACTATTCAATAGTTTAAGCAATTGAATTTTAACTGTTTTTCTTAATCCTTATTTGTCAAATAAATATAACAGATAGAGCTACCAAAGAAATATATTAACTCAAGTTTTTTAAAGATGGAATTTTGTTATCCAAAGCAATATTTAGAGAATACAATTTTTACTCAATGATGAATAGCAGATGATTAGAAATACCGTTACAAAAATGAAAACTCATTTAGCTTAAATGAATTAAAATTTGAAGATCAAAATGGAATTGCAGTTTTTTATCAGCAAGCTGTCACAAATTTTCCCACTTATTTATTTTTTATGACCCATTTTAGAACCAAACGATGTTTACAATGCAAATGATTTGGAAATGTAATCAGTAGTTAATTCATTATTATTTACTTCCCTCAATTTAATTTATTAATATCAGTTGTGATAACAAGCTAATATCTTACGAAATATGTCTCTGTATCAAAATACAACATTTTTAGCATTTTTACTGAATAAATTTTGTGATACGTACATTTATGAAATAATTATGAACTTCAATTTGATAAAGAAATTGTTTTTTAAATTTTTTTAGAGTAAGTTTTTTTTTTAGGGTGGGAAGTGATAAACACTCACACACATGCCACATTGATCATCTATTTGTATATATATATATATATATTATAAATTGAAATGAAAGAGATTGGAATAAGACTTTTGTCGAAAACTTGTATTTTAGCATTTATGATTCTTACTTAAAACTAAAATTCACTTTGAAAGAATCAAATCCAATTGAACAATGTTTAGTTCAGCTAAATAATTTTGAATGCATTATTATTGAAATGAACAAAGTACATATTAATTGAAACTGTATAGTCTTCAAAAAACTTTTTTTTTTCGAAGGATATTTTTTTTTTCTATTTTAACTATTAAAATAAATAATTTTAAGTTTCTTCGTCCCCCCCCAAAGAAAAAAAAAACCTGGAGAAACTTCAAAAATTATAATAATAGTACTTTTTTTCTGAAGAATGCTATTGAATAGTAAAACTTAAGAAAACGGCTTTTAAAATCTAATCATAGTAAGAATGTAAAAAATATCTTTTCTTTTTTAAAAGTACTTAATCAAAAGCAAATAGACATTAAGATGAAAGAGATAAATTTACAAAGTTTTATTTGAGTTTATAGTCAGAATTCGATAAAAACTCCAATTAAAGATCTGAAAAAGAATAAGGATAAATTAAACTGGGAGTATTCTGGAATAAAAAAATATTAAGTTTAATCTGAAAGACTTCTGTAATAATTTTATTTCTTATCAATGTATACTCACGGTTTCTTTTTTTTATACTTTTTCCAGTAAAATAATTAATTTTACAAAAGTTTTATTTTCGAGAAAATCCTTATGATTAATTTTTTGACATATAATAATAGAGCAAATAATGAAAATATTCACATTTCTTTGAAATATATATGTATATATATATACTTATACGAAATTTAATCTCCAAAAATACGTTAACAAAACAAAATATTCATTGAAATAATGTTTATAAAACTAAAACATATTTTAATTATTCTTTGGAAATGTAATATAGTATAATTTAGCGTTTTTAATTGTACAATATCTTTAATGATTTGAAAATGTGCACCACACATTTTTCGATTGAGTGTGTAACCACTTATCTGTTACATATTTCTGGAGTTAGATTGGATGCGGCAGACCTATTGCTTGGCCTTCACTGTCCACGGATTTCAATCACATAGATTTCTTCTTCTAAGGCCACCTGAATTTTTTTTAGTTATTGTTATTAAATAATTACAATTAATATAAATATGTATATACATATGGCAGAATCACAATATAATATTAAAGACAAAGTATAAAGCGATTTTCCTTGCAATTTTCCATTTTCCTTTCTATATAGGGTGTTGGACTATTATTTTTGTTTATTACAAGTTATTAAGTATTTAAATTTAATTATTCCAGTAAAATAGTATAGTAAAAAGAAGTAACATTCCAGAAATTTGGCCATCCCAGGTGCAATTCGAATTGAGCTCACGACCATTGCATTAGAAATCCAACGTGTTATCCATTGTGCTACAGTGACACAACGAGCGGTTTTCTTTTTATAACGGGAGTTTAAAAAGTCACGCACATACACATGGTAATCCTTGTTGCTTAAGGGAACATGGACATCATATACTTTCAAATAATCGATTTTTCAATTTTATTTCTAAAAAATAGTGCTTATTTTTCTGAATCTAAAAATGTATAATACTTATATGTTTGTTAATAAAATAGCCCTAAAATATGAAAAATAAAAATGTAAATAAATGACCACGCCCCTTTTGACACGCCCCTTTGAACTTTAAATATGTAGTTTCCCCTGTGTTTTATCTATATTAACTTTTGATTGTTTTTTTCGTTTGAATGTTAACCCCGCTACTTTTAGCCACGCTTGTGCGTGAGCTATTGTTCCAAGCTGTGTGACAAAATTTCTTACTTTAAATTTCGGTTTATGGCAATGTTTTGAACCGAGTTCGTCTATTCCGAAGTTTCTTGTGGCATACAACAACTTAATTTTTCATTAATTTTCGTAAGAAATGTTTATTTTTTACTTATAATTATTAATATTCATAAGATTTTAAAAGTATCTTCACTTTTTTAAACGAGTAATTATGCCAAGAATAAAAAATTTGGCAGAAGGAAGTATAGTAAAAATCAACATAAAATGTCTAAATCGACTGAAGAATTGCTTTTGAATTCCGTGGAAAGTGCTTCTAGGAGAAAAATTAAAATACCGGATTTACTAAAAGAACAAGATTCTCAAAATGTAAACATAATCGTTGAACTGGATTTATTATCTTCCCTTATGAAAAATCTCTTATGTTGTAAATATTGCTGTTCTTCAGAGAAAATTGAGCTGAGAGAAGATTTAAAAAGTCGTAGAAGTTTAGCTGTGAGTTTGGAAATAATTTGTCACAACTGTGAAGAATCGACGAGTACAATGTCATCAAAAATATCAAATAAATGTTATGATGTTAACCTAAGATTGACATATGGAATGAGAGCTATTGGAAAAGGTGGAGCTGCTGCTCGAATATTCTGTGGGCTCATGAATTTGCCTCCACCACCTGCAAAGTTTGAACGCCATAATTCTTTGTTTTTAAATGTTTTAAAAACAATTAGTGAAGACTCGATGAATGCAGCTGTTCACGAAGCAGTCATAGCGAATGATAATAATTCAAATATAGCTGTGGCTGTGGATGGCACATGGCATATAAGAGGCTATTCTTCATTGAACGGAGTTGTATGTGCTACGTCTGTTGAGAACGGAAAGGTTATCGACTTTGAAGCTCTCACAAAATATTGTTCTTCATGTAAGGGTAAAAAAAAACCATGTGAAAATTGTGCTAAAAATTACGAAGGATTCAGTGGGGGAATGGAATGTCGGGGGGTATTAAGTATATTTCAGCGATCTGAAACATCACGAAAAGCATGTTATACGCAGTATCTTGGTGATGGGGACTCAAAAGGATTTCTTACTATAAAAGAAGCAAAAGTATATGGCGACACAGAAGTTGAAAAATTAGAATGTGTTGGCCATGTGCAAAAGCGTATGGGCACAAGGCTGAGAAACATTCTAAAAATGAGCAAAGGCATTAAGCTATCAGATGGGAAAAATATTTCGGGACGTGGACGGCTAACGCTTAAAGAAGTGGACTCAATCCAACATTATTATGGGCTAGCAATCCGTAAAAATTTGTCATCTGTGGAGGACGTGAAAAGAGCCATATGGGCTATTTATTTTCATAAACTAAGTACTGAGGATAATCCTCAACACGCTTTGTGTCCTCTTGGTGAGGATAGCTGGTGCGGTTATAACCGTAGCATTGTTACGGGGGAATTTTATATTCACAAAAATTCTTTACCCGAGTCAATTTTATTGAAAGTGAAAAAGTGTTTCGGGATCTCACAGAGAAGGACTTATTGAAAAAGTGCCTTCATGGAAGAACACAAAATCCCAATGAAAGTTTTAACAAATGTATTTGGGAGCGAATTCCTAAAACAGTTTTTGTTGGCATTGAAACTTTGAAATTTGGAGTTATGGATGCTGTAATTTGTTTTAATGATGGATATGTAAGTAGGATAAAAGTCTTTGAAGCTCTGGGCATTAAATCAGGATACAACACGGAACGTGCCTTACTTATAATTGATAACAAACGAATTTTTGAGGCTGAACGTATAGTAAATAAAGTTTCATTGGAAGCCAGAAATAAAAGAAGGTCTTTAAAAAGGAAAATGGATAAACAGAATTTAGATGATGAAAATGAATACCAATCAGGGAAATATTAATCAAATCTATAATGTAAGGAGAAATTTTTTTGTTAAGTTTTATTATATTTTTTTCTCTAATGTTTAATATTTTTAAATTTAGGTACACTTTAAAAAACTATTGTAGCATATTGTTTGAAACCTTTTATATATCTAAACAGGATACATGTGCATACAGTGAACAAAATATCTTTTAGTATGTGTCTAATTTTTTGAAAATTAGATTTTATATGTAAAAAACAAAATTAAGATTTTCATAATTTTAAGGTTTTATGATTATTTTTAAGAAATTATGCAATTATATAAATATAATTAGTTAAAAACAGATTCATTATGTTTAATATGTTACTTTATATATATTTGTAAATTTTTTTGTATATTCAAAGAATATTTTTGTAAGAAATGGTACCTATACATGAAAATATGTATTACAAGATCTCGAA